CCGCACTGTTGCAGTTCTCAGCAGAACCTTACCCCATGAGCTGGCAGACTGCTCTGGCTTGATAAGGGACATGGACATATGTCCTTACTTTTCTGTATATGTATAGCTTTGAACTCATTTGTATTTAGCTTTTGGTAGATACTCTTTAACTTTAGCTACATTTCATATCCTGATGTCTAAACCACCTTACATCCAGAAAGTAATTTAAGATGAATTAATTATTTCTTATTACAATGCTGTGGGACAGCTGGATGGCATCTGCAGCTGAAGTTTAGAAGAGCTTGTTGATTCATGTGTTTATTCATTCATTCACCTGTATTTCCTGCATACATGCAGTCCTAGGGTTTAGGGGCTCCATAGTGAGTAAGGAGGATGGTACCACTTTAGTAGAGCTTACTGTTTACCTTGTCAGAAAGTTTGATATTAAAAGATTGCACCTTTGATCTTGTAACTCTGGGGCAAAAATATGTTCCCAGCCTGGGGCAAATAACCTTTGAACCTTTGAAAAATAAAGTGGGTGAAACCTGTTTGTTGCGTACAAGCAGTCATCTACTTCTACTTATCCATGTCTCTTGCGAAACAGCTGCAAAAGGACCCCACGAAACCTCTCTGGTCCAGGTGTGTGCTTGCTCTCTGCCCCCTTTGTAATCACCTATTGGTATGGAGGTGAACTACTTCTCTCCACCCCTTGGAAACACCTGTTGATGTGGAGATGCACTAAGGCCAGGTGAAGGATTCTGGAAATATTGCAATTTTACCCACAGGTCTCATCACCTCTTTTGCTACCAAAGGAGGCTTTGTCCCTCCCCATGAGCTCTAGCAGGTCTCAAGCTCAGGAAGCTTACTTAGGCAGCTGGTGTTTCACTGACTTTTCCTCACTTTGGTGGTATCCATGGAGGCTTTTCCTAATTAAGGTGCCTTCTGAGTTTATTAAACCTAAGGCATTGACCTGGATTTAATAGTTCCTTTTAAAAAATCTTTCAATCAACTATTTCCTAATTTTTGAAAAGTACCTTGTATTAAATTTATAATGTTGAATTTCTGAGACTGTGATATCAGAATGGGAGTTATGTGTTTATAGAATGGTGGCAATAGTTTTTATGATGGGGTTACTCCTTAAAGAAAGGTGTGGGAGTATGTGGTGAAAGTGAAGTCCTGGAGCCAGACATAGAGATTTTGAGTAGGATTGTCATTAGAAAAGTATTCTAAAGGAATGGATTCAGTTAGAGGACAGTGGAGGGAGGGTTCATAGCTCTCATTCCAAATGGATCACAGGGATACTTGGGAGAGTAGGACAAGCAGACTGGATTAGAAACAGTTGCTAATTTTTTAAGCATCTACTATGTGCCAGGTGACATTAACCAACTTGTATCTAAACCTCAAGACAATCCTGTGAGGTTGGTATTAATTTACAGATAAAGGGCCTGAGGTTCAGAAAAATTAATATTAGCCATTGGCCACATGTTCAAGGTAAATTGCCTACAGGACCAGCAGGTTATAGAACCAGGATTTGAATCAAATGTGTCTTTCTGCACACATCTGAGCATTAAAAATAAAACAAAGTTTTAAAAAGGCAGTTGTTAGAAATGTGTAACTACACATTCAGTAATGATCCAAAAAATGCTGTGTAAACTGAGTAAAATTAATAGTCTCTTCCTTCCCTCTACCATCATACCTTTAATATAACCAAAATGACTAGTTTGATGTTCCCTTTATTGCTTATACAAACATGTTACCAATATATAAGTACATATATATTTGAGGGGTGTGTTCTCTGCAAGTCTGCTAAGCCAGGCTTCAAGTCCAGTAGCTTACAACCCTCCGGCGGAGGATGCCTGTTCTCTGCCAGGGTTTCCCTGGCAGCTTTCGAGAGCCTCCCCGAAGAGCAGATTCAAAACAGTCACTGGGCAACTTGTTCTGCTGTTTTTGGTCTCAGGAGCTTTTTCCATTTCATTAACCCAGATAATTTTGCAGTTTGAGTCAGTTCCGTCCTTCTCTGCATGTGGGGCTGACGGAGAGTGGCTGGTCACCACATCAGGTGAGGTTACAATTTGAAGATCTGAAAAAAGAAATTAGTGAGGGGAATATTAAAAACTGAAAAAGCCTTATAACCAAGAAAACAGGCATTGAAAAAAATAACCTGAAGTTTCAGTTTCTTTTACAAGTGGCTACATGAAGTCTAGAAGCAAATTCAGAATTATACAAAAGGAAAGATTTTTTTATTGTGACATGTGCTTTTTGATTTTGAAACATTAGATCTTCTACAGACAGAACCCATTTAACATTACAGTCAATATGCTATTAGCATTTTTTGCATATAGCCTCTTGGTTTAAAAAAAAAACACAAACCAAACCCCAGAAATTGGTATATCTAACATATCAATATTCTGAACCAGAGAATACATAAAAGAAACTTCATTCTATTCCATTGTCATCACAAAATATAAATTTCACTAAGATCTGGTCATGTATCAAACACTGAACCTTGTATGTATTGTCTTATAATCTTCAAACAAATTCATGAAGTGCATACAATTTTTAGCCCCATTTTTCAGATAAGAAACCTGAGTCACCTAGAGGTTACATGTTTGTCCTTTTCACTTGTCAGTGTTTAAACCCAGATTGTTTGGTTACAAGTTTGCTCTTTATCAAAACAAGTATTTTGTGACTTCAAATCAAGTATTATGCACCAAATCAAGTATTTCATGACCTCAAATCTAGTGTTCTTAACCTACCACTTAGTACCTTTACTACCAGTGGCACCAGTGATGAGCCAGATCAACTCATTAACTAACCAAATTGCCAAATTTCCCATATTGGCCATTCATCTTTAAGAGTTTCTGAAAAAAGTTAAATTTTGTTTTTTTCATGATAAAGTAAGTTTCTGAAAGTTAAATATATTCTGAGTGCTATTTAAGATACCAACTATAATTGCATATAATACATATTACAAACTCCCAATGTCTTTAGGATATTTTGAATGTTATTTTTTATTTTCTCCATTTGTGAGCCTTTAAAATATTCTTTAGAAAATTTTCCAAATAATAAGAGAAAAGTAATTTTGTATTTCTAACAGTTGAAATTTTAACTATAAATTAAGCTATCTAAGAGAAGCCTAGTCAGTGTGAAAACTTAAAATTCTCTAATGCAGTGAGAAGGAAATGAGGATCTCCAGAAAGGATAATGGACTATCAATTAATACCACCCATTCTTTACCTATTAATTTAAAATGTATAGAATTGTGAGGATCAAAAATAAATTTATCAAAATTAAAACTTGCTGAAAGATGAATATTAATAGACTGCTAAAACAAAAAGTCACATTTTTAAAATGAAAAAGCTATAATGTGAACTGAAATAACTAGATAGAACAGTGAGGGGTTTTTTTTCCTGTTTTTTGTTTGTTTGTTTGTTTTACTTCTATGAAATTAGCCAGACCACAAAATCTGAAGAGACAGTCTTCTTACAACTTCTCTCCTTTATGACCCCAATTGCAAGTCGAGAGGATTCCTAAAATAACTCTTACGTTTGGTAATTTCCTAGAAAGACTCAGAACCTGCTGTAAGCTTTTATCCTCATGGGCATGGTTTGTGGGGACAGGCTGTGAATGAGAACCAGTCAGGGGAAGAGGCACATAAAGCAGAGCCTGAAAGGGGATCGCTCCAGGGCTTTGGACCACCTTCCCTGCGACGGAGACGTAGCATTACCCTCTCCTGGCCACACTGTGTGACCGTATGCACGGAGGACTGCTGGCCAGGGAAGCTTGCCCAAGCTTTCGGTGAGTCATTTCTCAGGAACTCAGTCACAGACTGCCTGACAGCTGAGCTTTTGTCTCCAGCCTCTCTTGGAGGTCAAGCTAATCTCCTTAGTCGCCACTTCCCCTGGAGGTCAGAAGTGATGTGGCGTTGGCCGAACCCCGCACTATAACTCACGTTCGAATGTCAGCGGGGCTTGCACCAGACAGGGACACACCCCTGTGAGACAGGATGTTGCAAGGGCCCAAGACCACCGTCCAGAAACCAAGGGCAAAGGGCAGACGTCTCTTTGGATAAGGTTATTCTTCACCACACAGACGTATACTCTTCTAAATGGTATATGTCATTATCAGTAGCCCCAAATTGAATATTCTTTCTATACGTTTAAGTCTTTCTACTTTAAGTCAAACTTGTTACAGGTGTATCAGTGTGGAGGATTTGATGGGGGTGGGGAGAGGAAAGCCCATTCGTTTGTTTAATTTGGCAAGTTTTCGTTTTTTTAAATGTTAAAATTTCTGTCCTACTGAACATACAACAGAAGAACTAATTTTCAACAAGTTGGCCATTTGGAGAATTGGAGGCAAAATGATTTTCGCTGAATGGCTTACACAGTCGTTCTCAAATTCAAGCGAGCCTCAGCGTCGTCAGCACGGCCCATTGCAACACCGAGTGCTGGGCCCCGTGCAGGGGGTGGGCCCAGTGAGTCTGGGCTGGAGCTCCAGGAATCTATATCCTGACACCTTGGTGATGCTGAGGTGCTGGTCCAGGAGCCACATCTTGAGAACCACTGGAATAGAGGAGGTGGTATGTGGCGGCTGAGAGGAACAAGGTGTGTCATTGACACGAGGCAGAAAATAGGCAGAGAAATCAATAGACGACGGTGGTACCTTCTGTGGCCTGTTGGATAGAATGTTCTGGAGTGCTACACATGGCATGGTAACAGGGAGACCCCAGGGTGGAGCGCGTGAGTTCAGTAAGTGAGCCTAAATACAGGCACCAGAGAACGGCCATGGGATCAGGCGAGCCTGGGTCAGGCGTGCGGAGCCGGAACTGTGCGCTGCCAGAACTGTTCAGACAGAGAAGTGATCTGCGGTGGCTTGTGTGATGAGGCTTTGCAGAAGCGTTTCAAAAACCAAAGTCAATTTTAACTTGTTGAACTCTTTTCCTTTCCTGATCTCATTAGGACATTTTCTTCTTGCCTTACTTTTTATGTCTCATATCTGTTTCCTTTTCTGCCCCACCTCAGGCTATGTTCAGTCTTTGTATGGTGGAAAGTGGAGCTGACGAGGTGAATTTGCACGGTGTGACCAGCCTGGGCTTAAAGCAGGCCCTGGAGTTTGCATACACAGGACAGGTATGCTACCAAACGCCAGCCGAGAGACTTAACACTTTAACTGCACCTAACTGGAGGAGGTGATCCTTGAGCTATGCGGGTTAGCTATTTTCTTTGTTATTCATTAAAAAAAACTTCATATCTACTTCATTCCCTAACTAAAATAATGAAAAGGTAAGTAAAGCAGTTTAATTTTAAGCCTGACCTGGGGAACATAGAATTTTAATCTTAGCTCCGTGGCTTACTTGTGCAATTTAGTATTTCCTAAAGAACCATCATATAGGAAAGAGTTTGCAAGAAATCTTGAATTTCATGGTTATTACTGAAGCTCAGTGACTCAATGTTGGCCTTATTGTCTCAAAAACAAGACCAGAAAAAATGTCAAACACCCAAAAGCTATGTCTAGCATTGTGGCATCCTTTCCTGCACAGGTATCTCAGAGTCAGGGTGTCTCAGATAGATTAGAATGTGACAGATTGAAAGCAAAAATGTTCATCGCTCATGTTATTGTAGGACCTACAGGTATCTCCAGAGGATATCCATTTTTCTTTCTTTTTTTTAATGAAAGAATAATAATGACAACTAATAAAATGCAAGAACCATGTCAGTGTATGGCTATCAGAGCAAATCAAAACTTTTTAAAGACAGTATGTATCCAGATCTGAAGCTTCATGGTTCTTAACTAGTTTTATATTAGTGAAATGATTATTAGAACACAAAATCTTTCCTTTTAAAATTGTTTTTAAATTGTGATATGATTGACATATAATATTGTATTAGTTTAAAGTGTACAATATAATGACTTGGTATGTGTATGTGCTGCAAAATAGTTACTACAATAAGTTCAGTTAACAGCCATCACCACATCTTTCAAATATACAATACAGCATTGTTAACTAGAGTCAGCAAGCTGGACTTTACATCCCAGGACTTGTTTATCTTATAACTGGAAGTCTGTACCTTTGACCTCCTTCACCCATTTTTCTCACCTACCTCCCCACTTTCATTTGAAAACCACTCACTAAATCAACCCAGGTATAGATGGGATGTTTACCATCTTTTATAATAATTTGTTCTTTAACTCTATTTCATCCAACTGATGTTCATTGTCTTCTGTGCTAAGATAAGGGCCTCTTCTCTTGACAAGCTCATATCCTGGTAGGGGAGAGAGGCATACACATAATTACTACACACTTACACTGTGATGGGAGGTATAATAGAAACAGAATATAATATAAGACAGCGGGGACAAAAAAGAGGGCGTGGTCAATGGGGGCTGTGGGGGCAAACCTTCACAGAGAAGGTGGTATTTGGGTTGTGAAGAACATTGGGAGTTCACTTTTTCTGCTAAGTTTCCTTCTTTAGAGGCTTGTTAAAAGTGTATCATATTTTCCATTCTTTTCTGTACAGCTAATAGAGTGCAAGATATGTTTCACAGTATAATTGAGATAACTCTGGTAGCTGAAATGAAAGTAGTAGGTAGAAAGGAAAAATTGTTAGTAGCAAGTGTAAAGGGACATAGCAAGGAGATGAATCACAAATTCAGGGTCAGTCCAGCCGAACTTCGTGCCTTAGGAAATGAAAGCAGACAGTTATTGTTCAGAGTGATCAAGCTTATTCCTGGTGAGGTGAGTGAATAGTGTATTGTATGCTTTCTGGCTTACAGATGTAAGGAGAGATGCCAGCTCTAAACTGTGTCTTGTGTATATTTCTCTCTTCACTCCTGAATTATAGTCCCACCTGCATTTGCCCAATCGTAACGTACGATTGATTGATAAACCATAGCTCCCACGTCACTGGTGTGCAATGCAGATGAAAGAGTAAATATTCGTTTTTTGATGAAGCTACCCAAGTAAGTAGCTTCGGAACTTAGCTGCATTAACACCCAAATGGGGTAAGCTCAGAGGCTATAGACTGAAGAGCACATTTAAATCATTAATAAACAAAAGTCACAAAAATTGCTGTGAAGGCTGAGGTAGAGCATGGGCGCCCATGTAAGTGGCTGCCTTCCGGTTTGCCTCAATTGCTCTTTGGGTTCTTTACGATGGCTAAATATATACATATGTAAATATAAATATGAATTTAAAAATATTTAAAATGCCTGTGGCACAAAGGATCTATGAAACATGAAAAGCCAAATGAAAAAATGCATATACAGATATTTAGCATATAAAAAACGAGCTCCAGGACGAGACCAGGAGGTGCATTTGTTCTGCCCAGTGACCCATTCCTGACAGAGGGCGAGCAGGCCTGCAGCCTGCACCAAGGGGACAGGAAGTGGGCTGACATTTCACGGAGCCCCTTCTGCGAGAGCAGGAGCATTGCCCTCGGCACCTTCTGTGTGCTGCTTGACCTAATCTTCTAGACAGTTCTGAGGACTGCAGGGATGCCGTCGTAAAGACGACAAGCCGAGGAAGATGCTGCGAATGACTGAGGTCACTCTCCCAGGGTATACAGACCCAGTGAGTCACCCCAGTCCTCTTAACTTCAAAGCCTTTGTTCTTTCTTCGTATCCCATGTCATTAAGTAAAGGTTCATATTTGTTATGCTTTGTTGAAGGAGACAGGGAAGTGTTTGGACGTTTTAGAGCATGAACTCTCGATAATTCTCTCTACCTGGGTGCATTTCCAACACCCAGTTGACAGGCAGTTGTGCTCTCTGTATTTATTACCCTTTGCTTCAGAGTGAAAGTTGATACAGTCTTTCTTGGCCAATATCCATGGCAGTTTGGTTCCTTAAACAATGAAATAACTGTAATAAATCTGTTCCCCTTTGAGACCTGAACACAGGAAATGGCAAAAAGTGAGATTGTCGTGGATGTGGGAAATACAAAAGGCTGCTTGCTTTTACTATGGAATTGAAATTATCATTGAGCAAAGAGTTTGGAATATGGACGTGTGAATAAAAGCATAGTTCTTCAGTTTCTTAAGTGTTTCTTACTATTGTGGACATTCGCTGATATGTTTATAGATTTGTAAAAATCAGGGTTAACATTGACTTTATCTACCGATAGCTGTTTCTCCTGGCAGTTGATTATACCTTTAGTCAGTTGTAGTAAGCATAGTACAAAATGTAAGTGTTTTAAGTGTCTGAAAATTGTTGCTGTCTTGGGAGAGAAATTGGAAGTATAGAGTGGGTGTGATGAATGAATGCTGCTAAGTGTAACAAGATGTGTGCATGTTCCTCCTACATATCGCTCTAAAAAGCATAGCCTTCTTAAAATTGGTCACAGATTTTTATCCAGGAAGTTTTAAAGAAAAAGCAAACTTTTCCTCTACTGCTAATACATCCTTTGAAAATGCATGCATTTTTCTTTTCAAGGAGCATACACAGGGCTGAGCAAGCACACACTCTGTCTTCACACCAGTTAGACCCATGCCCTTCCTGTGGGCACACCTGGCCTGGGGCACAGCTTGAGCAGAGCCCAGGATGCACCGCAGCCCTGTGGGTGACCGCATACAGCCATACGCAGCAGAATCAGTCATGCAGGGCAAAGGAGCTAGGCTGCTTGGTGAACCCTTTCCTGAGCTGGCCCCGAGAGCTGGGTCAGAAGCAGATGGCGTGATGCAAATTGTCACTGGGCAGATCTGTCTTTGGGAGAAAAGGACAAAGTGAACCCAAGAAAACACACAGTCTCACTTACTCTGCTGGGCAGGAGACCTTGTTAACTGGCCTCCCTCCGTCTCCTCACTTTCCAGCTCTGGCCAGGAATTCATTTGTGTTTCAGACCAGGCTTGAGTTGAAGAGACCTAAGTAGAAGAATGAAAAGGAACTCTGATGGAGATATTGACCAGGAGAAGGATCACAGTCCCAGCTGGACAAGAGGTCAGGCACCCGGGAGCCAGCAGGTGCTGCTAAGAAAGCCCAGTCAGACAGCAAGGAGCGGGTAACACTGAAACCCTCTTATAAAAAGAAGAGCCCTGTGTGCAGGCTGGAAGGACTTCCCACCCCAAAGATCTTGGAATAAGCCTCTAGGAGTTTGAGTAGCCGAGGACCAAAAACGGAAGCAAGTAGGACTAAGAACCACGGTGAAGTTCGCTGTTCAGCGCTCTGCCCGTGAAGATGGCAGGGAAGATAGACTATATGCCAAGTTCTGTGTGAAGTACCTTCCACATAATGGATCAAGGGGTTCAACGCCATTAGGCTCCTCTTACTTCCCAGGAAACTGTCCTCCTGTTCCACCCCTTGTAGCCTGATGGAGAGATTCCAGGAACCCGATAAAGAGAGAGACTGTGCACCAAATGACAGTGGCATTTGTAGTCCCCTTGAGGATTTCCCACCCCCAGGTGCTGCTGACTTGGTCCACCCTGAACCAGCCTGGGTATCTGAAGACAGAGGGCTCTTGGGCACCTACGTTCCCTTGCTTTTCCCTCCATCATCCAGGGACTCTGGCCTCTGGCTCCTTAGCATCGTGAAAGAACTTCTCTCTGGGACGCGCATCCTAATCACCTTTCTCTGATCCAGGGAATGCTTTAGGCCAGTCTTCACAAAGATATTTTGTGTAGCCATTAATATTAATATTTTGAACTCTTTGGAAATCTAGAAAGGAATTGATACTCTGTTAAGAGAAAAAAACTTTTTTTATCTCTAATTGTGGTCATATAGAAATACTCAAGCAACGAGGAATTGAAAACTAATGGAAACTGCCCCGTAATTTCCATGCTCTTGCATAGTAAAGATTTTCTTCCTGATTTTCATCTGATCACCTAATAAGGTGCAACCTGATGTGTTTTTTCTAGATATCCCTGGTACAGCATACACTGTAGCATTACATTTTGATGATTATTGAAACTGGATTTATTCTCCACAGCAGAACATTTTTCTCTGGAGGCCTGAGCGTATCGGCTTTGGGAGCAGAATGACGGGAGTCCTCATTGGACCTGCCTTCCCATGGACCATCCCTCCAGGGATAGATATTTCACTTTACGTGGGGAAAGTCCCCATCAGAGTTACTTATAAACGTAACCTAGTTGAACTAAATGGTAGCACATGGAGCAAATATAGGAGATATTTTTCTTAAG